GGGCAGGGGGGCTCACCTCGTGGGTAGCGGCACCAGAGCCGCTCCCCTCCATCATCTCGTGGGGCGTGGCACCAGAGCCGCTCCCCACCATCACCTTGGGGTCAGTAGCGGTAGGCCCGCTTTCCTCCATCCACCGGTCCTCGGCCAGCACGCCGTGCGAAGCGGCGGACCCATCGGCCTCCGCCGACCTCACCGATTCACTCCCCTCCGCGTGAAACGCGAAGGGCCCCTGCACGGACGGGCGGCCACTTGTCAGCGTGCCCTCGTCCTCCAGGACGTCCCAATCCACGCCGACGGCTACCTCGTCATCATTGTCATCATCGTCGCCGCCATCGCCATCGCCACGCCCTCTCCCCGATCCCGGCCTCCCCTGCTTCATCGTTTCGCCCTCTTCATCGCTTCTCCCTTGCTTTCTTGTCCCGCTTTCGGCCATGTGAAGTCGATTCGCCGCCACGCCACGGCCTTGTCCTTCGGCAATGAACCGACTATCTTTGAAGACTAGCCTCCTCGGCTGGTTCCAACGTCACAAAAGCAAGTATTAAAAAATGGAGATTCAGGAAAAAGAAAAGAGCACGGGAGAAGAGGACTTACGAATTCGAGGAACCCAGGTTCTGGCCGCATTGGGGGATGTCCGGGCACTGGATACACAATGTCGAGGACGTTGCCTTTGGAGTCCTTCGTCGGCTCCATCGCCTCCTTAATGCGCTGCGCCACTTCCGAAAAGGGGAGTGCCTCGTCAACAAGCACCATCCCCTCGAATGACATTCCGGGCATCATCCGATACAGGGGAAGCACGCGCGCCATCAGCGGTGCCACCCTCCTCGCATGATAGGCGCCGATAATCCCCGTCCCCTTTACGCCCTGATCCTTTAGGGCTTGAAGGGCGGAAAAAAGGTCGGAGAGGTGTTTCTTGTCTTTGGACCGACGCCCACTCCACGACTCGAGTCTCTTCAATAAGGCGTCCGGTGTACCTCGGTAGGGTGGCGCCACATCATCCCTAACATAAAACCACTCATGAAAGCCATCCCTTGTTGGATGTCGCCAGACGCATGTATGGGTAACCCCTCGACCGGTATGGCGAGATGAATGCTTTGCACATCCCATTGGCGAGTTCACATCTTTCCCTCCAATCTTCCTCTTCGACAAACTAATGGTAAAGAAATAACGCCACAGATCAAAATGGGGATCGATCCCCAGGAAACCCTCGCACAGGGCAACAAACGTCGCCATATGTTGAACCCCGTTGGGAGTTAGATGCTGCAGCTCCACCTCATAATAATCCAGCAGCCCCCAAAGGAATCTATGCGCGGGTACCGCAAATCCCCGCTCATGGAAGATGGCGAAAGAAATGACATACCCTTCGGGCGGCACCGGCTCACCCTCGTCGCTAGGTAGCAGCCACTCTGAAATCTGGGACAATGGCGGAGAGAAGGCCACGGTGGACGAGGCCTCCAAATGCCGTGGGTGATGCTAGATCTGCCCCATAACTCCATCAAAGCAATTGGGGAGAAAAGGGGGCGCGAGCCCGATGGCGGCTACGGGCAAGGCGCGCAAGCTTGATGGCGGCTGCTGACAAAGACGGATACAAGCCATGGACGGTGGAGGTGTGGGGGCGTGGGAGGTCAGGGCGATTATGGCGGATGTTTCAAGACGCAAAGGCAAGGGAGCGAAATACGGAACCTTGGGGGCGAACCCCGTGGTTTTATAGGGACGACGGAAGCAAGAAGGGCAACCTTCTGCCTCGATCTCCGGGCCTGCCACGCACACCGCCGCGTCACGTCGCGGGACACACACCCGCAGTCCCTATCCCTTCCCATCGAGAATCACGGTGGACGGTTCACCTTCCAGGCGAATCCGGACTCCCTTCCCGCCTGGGGAAGGCAGGTCACAAAGATTTTTTCTATTTTGGCCCGCCTAGGGCCCAGAAGCTCGGCGGCTGGCCCAACTAAGGGCGGGTCCACAAACGATCCAAAATCAAGGGCGCAGGCATTACTGGGGTCTTGATCCATGGTCAAGCCCTAGTTAGGTCAGCCCTGAATGGGATCCCCGCGAATGGGATACCACGACCCCTTAGAAAAAATATCCAGTTGACGAAAAAACCAAGTCCTTCAGCCTTACCCGCAAAGGGTCCGATACACCCCCTGTGGCGGTTCTATCCGAAGGACCTAGAGGCTCGGGGGCTACACCCAACGGGATACCACGACCCCTTCAAAAAAATATCCAGTTGACGAAAAAACCAAGTCCTTCAGCCTTACCCGCGAAGGGTCCGATATACCCCCCGTGGCGGTTCTATCCGAATCACCTAGAGGCTCGGGGGCTACTGTCGGGGACCTAATACCAGGATACCCCAGAAGGCGGAACCAATAACCATCGAACGTTAAAACTTACGGATTTTACAAGGGCGCCATTGCTTCCTTGCCCGAATGACGAAAAGTTAGGTTTCGCCTTGCCCGACGCCTCGGGACCAACCCCCGCCTCGCCTGAGGGCAAAAGGCCCCAAGGGCAAAGGGATGGCCTCCGTCTCGCCCAACGCCTTGAGGCCAGCCCCGCCTCGCCCGAGGGCAAGGGGCTGGCCTCCGTCTCGCCCGAGGGCTAAGGAATACACTCCGCCTCGCCCGACGACCAAGGACGAACCTCGCCCGATCGATATCCAAAGGCTGGTTTTATCTTACGATAACTTCTCTCCCGTCCCCTCATGATGACAGTACAAAGGCAAGACAAGACATTCGGTCAACCACGGCTTCAAGGACCATACCCTGCGCCCCGGTAGGAAAGGTACCGCCAGGAACGATCGGGACAGTGCTTTAGACCCTCCCAAGCGCCGCAGAGCCCAAAAGGTATTGCAGTAGCGTGCATCCTAGCCCTAGAGAGTTGTAGGCGCCGCCTTGACTCTCCGGACACGGGACCCGATGAAGATACACGACAACCACTACACTCCGTAAAAAAGGATTTGTAATCTCCACGAATGACGGACATGCCGTCACCACATTATGGACCCAAGGGAGCGGCGTCGCTTCCCGACCCCTCGGTCCACCAAATCGTGGGACCTTGCCCACAACGCTACTCCGACCTCGACTCTCGCGTCCCTCACGACAGAGACTCATAGAGCCGTATATGCGTGGAGCAAGGTCAAGGCGAGGTTCATAAGTCAAAACCATCAGATTCCAAATTTCCATGCCCTGCGTGAGGGCACTATTCTGTAACCATCCTGACATTCTACAGAAGCATCGACAGTATTGTAGGCGCTTATCTTCCTTTCGCACCCATCAGAATGGGTAAGGAGGTTAGGTAGAGCACGGATCCTAAGCCACTGACCCTTGTAAAGCCATCCCCTTCATCTATAAAAGGGGATGCGCCTCCTCCAGAAAGCGGGACGGACGGAAAAACAAGGCGACACACACATAGTCAAGCTACTACCAAGCTCTCGACTTTCTTTCGACCCTTCCATCAGAGACTTGGGACCTGTCCCTCTCTCGATCGTTTGTATCCCCTACTTCGAACCACTCACGGTGCTAATAACACAAGCAGCAACAAACTGGACGTAGGAAAATTCAGTCCGAACCAGTACAAATCTTGTGTCCTTTAGCGCACCATCCGAGCCTAACGCGCATTACTATAAATTTACTTGCCGGTGCTTGTACGAAACACCGACAGAATTATTGCACAAACTTTGTGACAAGAACAAAATAGACGCAACGTACGAATTTGAGTACCTTTACCACAAACTGGCGTCCAATCAGATTGAGACAGGAATAATCGAGGAGATTAGAAGAATTTGAGGGAAGAGGAATTGAGGCGGGTGAAGGCAGCTAGGAGCCCAGGAGGCAGAACTCACCTTGGCCGGCGCCTTCGCCGGTGCCGCGGCCTTGTCCTCCGCTACCGCTGTCACCGATGCAGTTAGGAGCCTAGAATTTGTTCTTTTTAGTTATTATATTGTAGTATACAGGAGAAGAGACAACTCTCTTATGCTTTCGAGAAAAAAAAAATAGCTCAGATGGTGAATTGCATCTTGTGCGTATGTGAAAACATTCCCTGTGATACAAGATCTGATGCTACCATTGCATATGCAGAATTTCTGGTTGAGATCGCTTTGGAGATCGACAACTCGAGCAGATGCTGACATGATCATATAAGGAGTAGGCTGGGGCAAGATTGTAAGATATTGATTCTGTCATACAATCCATGCCAAACCCTTCACAGCAGCGAGAGATCGTGTTTTTGGAAGTTATGCATCATGGGCCAAAAAGGAAAAGGATAGCAGGGGTGGCATGTCGGAGCGCTGCTTCCGACGAGGCCGAGCCCAAACGTTCGCTCTCCCAGATAAAAGATCGTAATTTTCTGTGTGTTTTTGAAAAAATTTAGCGGTTTTTAATGTCACTGCTTTAACTTTTTCGTGTCCTCCATGCCACTTCCATCAGTTTGGCCTTTAACGCCGTCAAACTGCAGGTGTGAAAAGACGAAAATACCCTTAAGTCTAAATATGTTATTAATTTTTTTTAGCATCTTAACGACTTCAAATGAAAAAACTCAAAACTAGAAAGTTTTTAGATCTCGTCGAGATCTATAATTTTTATATAAAATTTATTTTCATTTAATTTCGTAAAAAAATATGATAAATAAAAATAATTTTTATATGAAAATTATAGATCTTGACGAGATCTACAACTTTCTAGTTTTGAGTTTTTTCATTTGAAGTCGTTAAGATGCTCAAAAAAAATTAATAACATATTTAGACTTAAAAGTATTTTTATCTTTTTACACCTGTAGTTTGACGGTGTTAGAGCTCAAACTGAGGAAAATGATACGAAGAACATAAAAAAGTTAGAGCAATAACGTCGAAGATCGTTAAATTTTTCCATAGACATATAGCAAATTGCGATCTTTTATAATGAGACACGGGAAAAGTCTTCTCTCCCAGTCTCCCTCCTCTACGTGCGTTTCGGCCACCAAACCAAAACCCAAGCCCAAAGCAAAGCCCGCAACTTCACCGGCGGCGGCCGATGATGGCCTCCGCCTCGTCCTCAGGCGGCGGCGCGCGTCCGTGGCGCACCGCGCTGCTCACCCTCCGCGACGAGTCGCTCGCCTCGCCCTCGCCCACGGCCCTCCTCGAGCTCCTCCGCCGCGTCCTCCTCTCCCCGGCCTCGGCCTCGCCCTCGCTCGCCGCGTCCGCCGCCGCGCTCTCCCCTCACGAGGTGCGGCTCCTGATCCCCCTCTTTGGCTCGGCTCGGCTCGATCTCACTCGCTGTGGTGTTTCGCCTGTCTGTGCAGGTGGGCTCGGATGTGGCGTTCCTCGCTGAAACGGCCGCGGCGGCGGCCTCTTGCCCCGGCGCCGACGACGCGCTGCGCGGTGTTTGCCACCTGGTAATGCTTCTGTGCTTCCGCTCCGTAGACCTATTATAGTTGGCTGTCGCAGGACATGGTGGAATGTATATGTACCCACGATTAGTGTCTATAACTGTAGATCGAGTGTGTTCTGTGATGATCAATAAGGATAATGTGGCTCGAATTCAGTTTCAGCATGCTGCAAATTAAGGCCCAGCTACAATTAGTTGGAGGCTTTGAGGCCATAGTTTTATCCATTTTGCTGACACTTAGCCACTTCGTTTTGATTGCAATGCTTTTTTTAGGCCGAATTGGGGTAGGCTACTGATAAGATTCAAATACTCTATCAGTGCGCGATCTATGCGTTTGGATAAATGAAAATCTTTACATTAATTTTCATGAAAAAAATCTACTTTTGCAGATTTATGATGTCATGTGCAAAACAAATATGGAGATTGACTCTTCTGGTTGGCTTGCATTGTTGAAGTTTCTTGACACGCTTGTCAAATGCTCGATTGAGGGCGCATGCGTGAAGGGCCTCTCTAGTAGGACAGCTGCATTGAATTCAACATCTGAATGTTTACATATCCTCAGGTTAGGTTTTGTTTATTATAAAATACTACTGGAGAAACTGTTCCTGCACTTGTGCTCTTTGAATTAAGAAGAAATGGCCTGTTTTCTTGCTAGTTATTCAAGTACCGACTGAACTTTCAGTGACATAAAAATTTCTGATTCTTTCTTGCTTCTATCAACAGTCAGCACAACGACTTCTACATGTATAACTATACCAATATAACATACCGTTCCCTAAATGACTTTTAAATGATGAATTTGCTATCATAGCCCTTCTTTTTTTGGCTAAAGTTCTTCCCTTTATTCCAGATAAGCAAACCTCTATGGCTACTTAAAGAAATTGTGCTGCACCACCTGTACTTGCCTGATACTCCAGATCCCCATGAATACTTTTGATTTTGGCAGTTCCATCCATACTTTTAATTTGATGCAAATTATCTCATGCACCTCAAGTTTCAGCAATTTAGCACCCATATTGTTCAATCAAGAGGAAACAAATGCCGATTTTTAGGGCATAGTGGCGAATGAGTCACTCTACATTAAAAGTCCAGGGAGGCAAAATGCCAAATTTAATACTGAAAGTGATAATCTGCATCAATCCTGAAATGCTGGTGTAATTGCCAAAAATGAGAAGCAAGGGTGGGGCTATACAGCCTTTTACAATTTTATTATTTTCCAATCCTTTCAATGATTCTTGAAAAATCTGCCTTTAGTGATGTGCACTTATCCTACATGTTGGAGAAAAGGAAAATGCCTTTAGTTCTACTGTATGTATGTGATACTAAAGTTACTGCATTCATAATTAATTCAAATGTCATCAGGAAGTATGATCTTTATATTGCTCCTAAATGCTTTCTGTTCTTGATGGCCAGGTTCTGGAGCAGGGATTATGGAAGAAGCGTTTCATTAACTGAAAGTTCACATTCACTAACAGTGCTCGTCTCGATTGTATCATACTTGCAAGCTGAACTGAACATCTCTGATAAACCAGCAAATGCCACTGGCATTTCTTCCCGCAATTCTGGATCTGTGAATAGTAAAAATTCCAATATTTGGGATATGAAGATATCTGCATTTTCCATGGTGGAAGATATACTGAGTAAGGTTGCATCAAATATGACAGAAAATCTGTGGCAGTCTGTTATTGAGGTTAGTGGTTTTTGACCTTATCTTTTTGTTGTTCTGCTTGGTGCTATGACATGGGGGCATTGAGTGACCGAACAAGTACCGCAGCAAAAGAAATCTGCAAGATTGTAGAATTTATTACACAACCGTCATCAATGGTTTAGAGCTTCCTCTGTGACTGATCACCTAAACTTCTGCTGATGTTTGGCCCTGTTGCATGCTAACACATCAAGCATTGGCTTATCCACATTGCACATCTGTTCTGTGGCTTGAATTGAGTTTCTTTTATTATCAATGTGTGCACTGGCCTTCTGTTTTAACCCAAACTCCAGTTTTGTACTTTCTAGGTCTTGAGGAAAGTTATGGATTTTGTCACAGCAAGGAACCTTGTTATAGAGAGTAGCGTCATGTCAAGGTTAGTACTTTTATTATTTCATGGATTACAGATCATAGTGAATTGAATGAATGGTAAATTCAAATCTAACCACACCAATTTAACAGATTTTATACTTCCTTTCTTCGTTGTCTACATTTGGTTCTTGCGGATCCCAAAGGACCACTTTCAGGGCATGTAAGTATAAAATAAAACTTTAGTCCTCTCATTTAAATAAAATTTCTACATGTATTTTCTGATTGTAACAATGTCCGTAAAACTTCAAGGTTGCAGGGTTTGTGGCAAATCTGCAAATATTTTTCATATATGGGCTGAGGTCATCTTCACCTCCTACACTAGCTCGAAAAGAAACTAGAACAGATTCAAAACCCAGAGCTTCACATGGACGATATAGACCACCTCATTTGAGGAACAAGGATGGAGGAGAGAATGATTCACTGGAAGGTCGAAATTCAGATAGTGAATATTCTCGGTATGATATAAGCTCATCAGACTCAGACCTGAGTGATAGTGATGGTTATGCAAAAAGTGGAGATCGCTTCCGGAGTTCAAAGGCTAGATTAGCTGCCATCCTTTGTATACAGGTACACATATGCTTTGAATCGTGTTTCCCTTCTTAGTTCTGATACATCCATTAGTCAATTTTTCCTTATGCATCTGTACAGCTTAGGTTGAGGTGTATAGTGGAGTTAAATATCATGGGATATGTCCTTCATAGTTAACTTTTAGGATGGTTGTTTCTTTTACTGAATATATGAAGGGATGGTGGTACTCTTTAATAGGTATCTACTGATTTCAGAAGGCAAATTGTCTGACCTATTAGATAACCTGGGCAACTTAACTCCCCTATGGCAATTAAAAAAACTTATGATTTGATTTTTATTTTACAAATTAAATTAAATTGTGGATCTCAAAAAATGATTATTTGATAGCTCATCTTACGATGGCATCTGCATGAGCTAATGAAGATATTTAAGTTCCACTAATTGATGTCATTTTCTTCCTGAAGTTATGCCATATGAGATATCAAATATCGAATGCAACATCAAATATTTCAACATGCTCATATTCTTGAAGTAACCATCTCACTAATCTCACTATCCTGTTCTCACCTCTTTTAGGATATCTGCCATGCTGATCCAAAGTTACTTACTTCACAATGGCCAGTACTTTTGCCTGAGAATGATGTTCTCCAACAAAGGTAAACTTTTCCTCATACAACAGTACAGCTTTTCTGACACCTCAACATCATCTGATGTTACTTTTTGTTGCTTGTACAGGAAATATCAAGCAACTCTGATGACATGCTTGCTTTTTGATCCTATAACAAAGGTACAAGTCTTCAATTACATACATATATCCTGATTTGAAGTGTCTCAAATTTGCGCGTAATCATCATTATACAATCTTTTTTTCTAGTTATTCTGCATTTGACAAAGCTGTGCTTTCCTTAATGCTGGCTAATGTTAACTGCTGTGAACTGTGCGAATGAAGGCATTTATTTGCCGTAATCCCATTATGATTTATGTGCTTTATGGAAAAAGGAAATTCTAATGCAGTAACCAAATTGATAAATGATGCACTTAATCCAAACTTTACTTTGCATTCACCTTTCCTTTTTTTTCTCAAACAACGCAGGAGAGCTGCGTGTCAATTCATTAAGAAGAAGAAAGAAACAGAGGGCCGGCAGGAACCGGCCCAAGTACAAAAAACTCCACCCCAAACACACACACCACCAACAGGAAGCAAACTCTTACAGAAAAATAAAAGAGGCAACAACTAAAGCCCTGACCAACCTAGACACAATCTAAGCGGCCAAGGACAGCGACCGGGCAAGGAGCTCTTGTAGTTTAGAAGCTCCAGCCAACCCCCAAAAACTGCATTCATCAGCTATCACTAGGAGCAGATCTGGAATGCTAGGCCTACCATGCTCGAAAATACAAGAGTTCCTGTGTTTCCAGGTTTCCCAGGCTACCAGAATAACTAAAGAGTTGAACCCCTTTTGCAAATCTTTTGGAATAAGCCGAAGACCTTTCCTCCACCAGCTAGAGAATTTGGTGTCTGACGTTGAGGGCACAAGAGCAGGTAGATGTAGGGCTTGGAGAATTGAAAACCAAATCTGCCTGGCGAAGACACAGCCCACAAGGATGTGTTGTATGGTTTCTTCCTCCTGATCACAAAAAGGACAAGCCTCTGAGTGGGGCAAGCCTCTTTTAGCAAGTTGGTTTGCCATTCACCTTTCCTTGATCTCCTCCGTCGAAATAGATGTAATTTTGTACAGCAAACTTAGTCTGGATGTGATTCCTATGTTTGACGAGTGTGCAGGCACTATGGAATTTCTCTATATGATACTTTCTCAATTTTAAATATCTTTCACTGTATTTTGAATTTGATGGAACATGCAATTTATGGTCACATCAAATTATTAATTTTCAGTTAGCTCTCTGCACTAGGTACGCCCTTTTTTTTAGAAACTCTCATGTACACTATCTATATGGCCTGAATTAAATATGCGCAGGTACGTGTTGAGGCAGCATCAACCATTGCTACCATGCTGGAAGGGCAAGCATTAGTTTTGACACAAGTTGCAGAGTACAAGGAGTCGTCCAAGCGTGGATCTTTCACCACATTATCTTCCTCACTTGGTCAAATATTGATGCAACTGCATACAGGTAGGGGAGTTACTGATATTTTCAGAATCCAATACTGTAATATCTTGGACTTTTTTTTACCACCGGAGATTGTGGTTGACAACTGTTGCTCCCAATAGAAAATCATATCCTACACCATTACCTAATACCAACTATGTTCAGCAAGAACGTAAACAACAGAAGCAGCTTCTGCCGCTAGGTGCACAGCACAAGCTGTCATGACATGCTGACTGGGCTGGTTGTATGTGCCCAAGGAGCACCACTGTAGCAGCAGAATTTTGTGCAACCTCTATTACTTTTCTAGGGAAAACAACCCCTATTAGTTGTCAGGTCATAGCTTCTACACACCAGGTCAAATAGATAGGGCTGTTAGTTCGCTGGGACGCTGGGTCATGAACTCATGACCCCAAAGTCGTTAGGCCAAAGATTACCTTGCATCTATTATATCTATATGCCACTGGGTACGCCCTATTATATCTATATGCCAACTGGTCATCTCTTTGGAATCAAGAAAAGAATAATCAGGAGAAACTCAGTGGTGCCTGGTCTCAATTTCCTGGTTCGGCATCTGTTTACGTACCATTCTAATTCTTATGTTCCTCTTGGCTCCCAAATCTGTCTGGCATCTGTTACACAAGCTAAAACAGTTAGAAGAGGCATGTCTCAAAGAAAAACACAGTAACCGGGTGTCAGGGTCATGAGTCTCATGACTGCATGAGCTTAATAGCATAAAGCAAATACGGGTTGCTACATTAAGCTTGTTCATGCCCAACCTCAGTACACAGTAAACTCTGGTTGAAGTCTTCTGAACATCTCCAGTAATTTGCTTCTGGTCTGAACTTGCTTGTTCCAATTTGTGAGCAGTGACGGTGTACTCAGCTGAGCTGAAACTTTTGTTATGACTAGGAATAATGGGCCACACCAGATTAGATGTCTTTTTGGGCCCACAAGTTCCAGATACTTATGTTATCCACTTTAAAAAAAAAAGAGCTTTCACACCAAAAAGCGCTCTAGAACAGATCTTTCATATCACTATCACTACCACTATTAACTTATTTAAGTACTTAAGTTATCCATAGCCTCATTTCTGCAGCTGAGCACTAAAATCCCAGCATTTTGTCCCTTTATTTTGGTGGAACTTGAATATTTTTGTTCAGCCATTTCTTCTATCCATCTGTGATCAATTAACTAGATCCCTCCACTTTGTAAGAGATCTGTTCAAGTTTTGCATTTTACATTTTTGGCTCCCTCTGATTTGCAGGAGCACTATACTTGATACAGCGTGAAACTCAAGCTACTTTGCTTGTGGCATTGTTCAGAGTTCTCATTCTTTTGATATCTGCTACACCGTATGATCTTGACACACCTGTTTTCTATTTTTTCTACTCGATTTTGTATAATTAGTAATATGTTAGACGAACAGGTACACTCGGATGCCAAAGGAGTTGTTGCCAACAGTCATTAAAGTATTGTGCAGTAGAATACTGGACAAGCACTCGAACAAGACTGAACATTATGCCTTGCTGGTTAGTTTTTTTTTTTTTTTGGTTAATTCCTTTATTGAAGAACCAGTGGTCTTGGGTGTCCTGTTCCTTACATGAGTGCACAACAGGTTAATGTTCTAAGTTGCTTGGAGACAGCATTTTCAAAAGTGCCACCAACTTTGGATGTCTTTGTGGTTCTCACTGAGGATTGCTGTGTTGGTTAGGCCTTATAATCCTGAATTTAAAATAATATTCTTGTTTTTCTCATTTTTCATCATTTATACTGCACAAATCTACTGTATTGTCTTCTTAAAAGGCAAGCAAAGCTGTTCTTATTCAAAAGGGTTTGAATTTGAAAAGTACTAAGCTATCACATTTTGTATCGATATGGGCTTTTCAGGACCATCACACGATCAGGAAGAATCAAATGTTATAGCTATTCTTCTTCATTGTATAGAGGAGGAAATGTATTACAGTGTTAGACATGGAGCTTTCCAGGCAAGTTGTCATTCTGATCCAGTGAATCTTACATATTGCTTTTGCATTTGTTTGTCCAGTAACTGTCTGACAGACTTGACTGTTGACACATCATGTATTTCCATTGCTAAGTGTCGCTTGCTCCCTCCCCTCTACTCTGGGCCCCCTTGTTAAGCTTTTCCTATATTATGGTCTTATTATTATAACCACTGGCGCTGTTGAAAACTATTGTATCATCCTTCTAAGTTGTATGCTGGTTATCTTGTTTGTATTTTTTATTTTAATGGGCTTTCAGGAAAGTTGAGCTTCATCCTTTTTTTAAAATAAAAGTAACATTCTGTCCTTTCCATGTTTGTACAATTTAAATGATGTTTCATTCGACAACCACCTGTTGCATCAACTGAAGATACAAGTCCAGGCATGATGAATAAGAACATATGGACCACCAATCGAGATATCGTAACATAAATTTCCTATGCATGTAGCCATAGGAATAAATTGCTGTGCACCCGCATCCTTGTAGGGCTTATCGCAAATTACAAAAATGCTTTTTTCCATATGTATATTAGTTGTCTTTGCATACAAGTCGACATTCTTGTCCATAATTCATCCACCTTTTATGTGTGCTCAGGTGCTGAGATCAGCGGTTCACAACTACCCAAGCTGTGCAAATATGATTTGGGAAAAACTTCGAGACAACGTTCTTGATTTGTTGCAAATACAAAGCTTTGAGGACCAAAAGTATGATGCTAACTTTGGGCCTCCTGGACCTAAAGAAGAATCATCAATCAAGGAAAGATGTCTTGTGGCTGGAATAAAGGTAATGTTTTCTGTGATATTGCTTAACAATCTGTACTTTTGTGCTATATCACATTTTGTGGCAGCTGTGCATTTCTGAACTTCAACCCTAACTCCTTTAGAAAAGCACGATAAACTATGGATGTCGCGCTACTATCAACCTTTAAGTTGTATTAATCTGCATATGATATAACACGCAAAGTTGTATGTATACATAAGCTTTTTCGTCCAACATTGACTTCCATTGTTTGCATTGTGTCTATGCTTGTATTATTTTTATGCTCATGTTCTTATGAACTTGATTGCTTTATGCAGCATGTACTGGTGCTTTATCCTTTTCCATTTTTTATGTATTGGTATGCTATTATTGACATAGATATTTAGTCAGTAGTGTGAGTAGACCATTTCCTTTTAGTGATGGATGTACTGTAAATAACCTTTTTATCATTTATACATTTATGGTTAAGATTTCCCCCCTCCTTTTCAGGTAATGGATGAATGTCTGCGTGTTTCATCTGGATTCAAAGGAGCAGATGACATCAAAGAATGCAGATTGCTGGATATTCAGCAAATTGCTGATTGTACCATAAATAAAACTATTAAGTCTGCACCTCACTTCGAAATGGAAGCTGCTGGATCATCACAGAATTGCACTTTGGACATAACACTTGGAACTAGCCGTTGGATCGAGGTGATAGAGACTCATCTCCCTCAGGGATTATCCCATGGCTCTGCTATGGTATTTTACCACTCTAGAACCTGTATTCTGCATTTTCTTATGTTATTTGCAGTAAAACACCCATGAGATTTCATTGTCTATCAATAGTCTAAGTTATTGATGCTATGTTCACTTAACCTAAAGAAGGCAGCTAATTTATAATCATCAAAGTGTTGAATGGACATCGTGCATATGCTATTGTTTATAGAATATTCTTGTTTATACTCCCTACTTCCCAAAAAGAGTGCACATCTTGTTTTCCAAGCAATCGACCAATTTCAATTTTGACCAAATCTATACAAAAAAGACTAACATTATTGATACAAAATAAGTATAATTAGATTAATCATGAAATATATTTTCATATAAACCTATTTGTAAACATAAATGTTGATACTATTTTTTTTATAAACTTAATCAAGCTTAGGATTGATTGACTTCTTAGAAAGCGAGATGTGCACTAGGACCTATTTGTTTGTGTTTTCCCTGGACTGAATAAAGTATCTGTTTATTTCTAGGTCAGGACAGCATCCCTCACATGCTTTGCTGGCATGACTTCTGATGTATTCTTCTCCCTGCCAGAAAATAAGAGAGACTATGTGACCTCCTCATCTGTAAGTCAGGAATCTCATTAGTCTATTTCTATATCCCTTTGTGTTTTCTTACCCTGTTCAGAAACATTGTATATTCGTATTGAAATGTTCTTGTCTAGGTTCATGCGGCATTAAATGATACGGTTCCTAGTGTAAGATCAGCTGCGTGTCGAGCTATTGGCATTGTTGCATGTTTTCCTCAGATATTGTCAAGGTAATTTTCACAACTGTGATTGCATTGCAGCCTCTCCTAAAAAAATGCTAAACTCGAAGTATTTTTGTGAAGTTACTTAATAGTGCGTGATGCACTGTTTCCTCATGCAGCTCTAGCCTACCAGGCAAGTTCATAGATGCCATTGAGTTCAATACACATAATTCATCAACTCCAGTATGATCTCCCTCCTTCCTTTCTTCCCTCCCTTTCCCTCTCTCTCAGTTATACTTACCTGTAAATGTTAATATTTAGGTTCGTGTCACCGCTGCATGGGCTTTGGCAAATCTCTGTTCTTGTATTCGTTTTAGAGCATTGGAAGTGCATACAGATCCCTATGCAGGTATATATTTCATGTTGATGGTTAAAGTGCCAGTGTATATGCCAATAAAGCATGCTTATGCATTTGTTATCTTTTGTCAAGTGTAGGTGTACTGAACAAATCAAGCATATCTCTTTTGGTTGAAGTTGCTTTGCGTCTGGCCAAAGATAGTGAAAAAGTAAGATTGCTTTAGCCAATTTATGTATTTTGTTTATGTTTGTTCGCCAGCATCCATACCAGATTGTCAGTTTTAGCCACAAGGAATACAGAGATAATTGGAGATCGATGTTCATTGTGAAACAAGTAAACTGATCAAAGCTGTGAAACAAGTAAACTAATCAAAGCTGCTTGTATGTCTGGTAAAAAGAGTTGTTTTGATTTTCATTCAGGTAAAATCAAACGCTGTTAGAGCTCTTGGTTATCTTTCAAGATTTATCAGATTCAATTACCAGGCTGGCACAATAAATGACCCAAGGTAGCAGAACATTCTGTATGGATCAATCACTATTCTTATTGCTTGTTACTCCAACTCACAATTTTAAGATTTTAGTAACAGTGATTCAGTTTTTTATGGAGATCCGGTGTGGCTCGAAAGAATGGTGCAGGCTTTGGTGTCTTGTGTGACAACTGGGAATGTAAAGGTACTACAAGAAATAGTTTTACTTAACAGTTTAAGCACTAGCCTAATTTCTGAGTCATTTTCTTGTGTTTTAAGTCTAGAGAAAAGAATATGCAACTTTGCCTCCTTGTTATTATCCTTAGGAGGAAATACCTCAATAAATAGAAGTGTATGATTTCTCCCCTTTATCACATGTATTATTTTGCCATAAAGAAGTGAAAAATATAGGTTGTTACACATTTAGCAAAAAAAAGTATATATCTTTATCTAATTTATGGGATGGTAGAATTCATTGTGGAATGTTAAGATTCTTGAGGTGAATAACTGGCTGCACTTTGACATGTCTTTTGTATAGGTCCAATGGAATGTTTGCCATGCCCTTAGCAACTTGTTCATGAATGATACCTTGAGACTTCAAGACATGCCTTGGTACGTATTTGTGCACACAGTAAAACCTTGTTCATCGAATTGCTTCAGACGACTAGGGTTTTTTGGTTTGCACCCAAATTTGCCACGCAGGAGCAAGCCATGTGGCCACCTTTTTCAACTGGAACTCTCAATGTGGCAAACTGGCAATAGCATTTGAGGTTTTGTGCTTCAGATTAAATGCTATTGAGTCTCCCTCGGGGTTGCTTTCTCAATTCTCATTTTCCATATTATGGCCTATAGCACTAGTGGGTCCCTAGTTGCCTATGGCACGAGCGCAAGTCACAGCAGAACACACTGGGTGTAACTGATACCACGCAGCAGAATCTTTTGATTGACTACCTGTGATTCACACTTATGACTATCACTTCATAGGCATTTAGATTTCACATAGTTTCTTACCTGTTCATGTTTGTCTTATTTGCAAAACCTGTCAATCATGGTAATATCTTGGTATATGCTTGAACTTATTAATATTTGATGATTCTGACCATATTCTGTTTAACAGGGCATCAAGTGTTTATAGCATACTTCTACTTCTAATCCGTGACTCCAACAATTATAAGATAAAGATGCATGCAGCTGTTGCTCTAGCAGTGCCAGTGTCAAGGCTTGGTTAGTCCCCTTACTTCTATTCTCCACCTTTTAATGTATTGGCTTTCCACATTTTGGAAATACCATGACATTCCTGGACTTGAAGCGTTGTTCCACAATTTTGAGATTCTGTATCTACCCACGTATATGTACTGTAAAACTTGTGCCTCGATCATTAACATTCCAAAACTCAAATCGTCTTCATTGGACATTAGTAATAGCAGTTTCCTGATTCCTGACTGTGCACATCCCACCACTACATCCATCAAGCTGCTGGAGCTTATCCTCTCTCTTCTTTACAGATTACGGTAGCTCATTTCCAGATGTTGTTCGAGGCCTTGTGCATGCTCTCGAGTCATTGAATTCAAACAATTCATCATTACCTTCAAATTTCAAACAGAAAGACAACCTTGAGAAGCAGGTTAGTGTCATTGATGCTCATATAGTGACTTACTTTGCACCCAAGCATCCTTATTCGGCAGCATTGTTGAAGCTCTTGCTCTACTCTTTTTTACAGGTTACGTTTACTGCTCTTCATTTGCTTAGTTTTGTGTCACCAAATGATGATCCAAGCCTGAAAGATTTTCTTACAAAGGTAACGATTTCTCCTTTATACCATGTATATTAGTGTGTGTTTTATTTTATTTATAAGTCTTCGTCTGGAACAATATTCTTAGTGGCAATTGTCATTCAGGTAAAAATGTAAGGTGCTTCCTGCTCCATGTAGATTTACTGTTTACTGCAGATTCTTGTATGGTCTAAATCTGTAATATTGACTGCTGCAACTGTTGTCTAGTAGTCTGATGGATCTATTGGCCTATTACCCAAGCTAACTCATCTGCCACCTGACCTGAGCAGAAAGCGTTGTTTCTAGAAGACTGGCTGAAATCATTATGCACATCATTCAATAATAATGAGCACCAGCCCTTGCCAACGGAGGCCATAAATGATGAGGATGGTTTCAGGCCAAACGTGACTCAGAAAGTTATGCTCTCCTCTGCCCTGCAGTCCTTGCTTGGCATATATACGGGCAGAAACCAGCAAGCTATTACCCAGAGATTTGAGCAACTAGCTAGAAGCATCGCGTGAACGATGAACAGTGAACAGCCCCTCTGTGGTCTCCACCCTCCATTAACAAGCAGCAAGATATTGGTCGTCTACCCCCTCAGGATGGGCAACACATCAGGCAGTGGGATCCTTAAATTCTGCCAAATCCCATGAACTCCAACGAAGCTGCAAGTCGCCAGTTGTTTTGGATCTTGGCCGTCACGGGTCGCTATCATGCACAAGCGCATCGAAGCTCGGTTTGATCGGTGCAATATCGCACTTGCGAATTGTGTTTTTTTGTGGAGTAGTTCCTTAGCATCTTGCAGGCGCGGACATGTTTGTATACCTTGTGTAAAATAGTGACCTCAGTTGTTTACTTGTAACATTATTACTGTGAATATATAAGCTGCAGTCTTCCAAACCGAGAGTGACCACAGCATGTGTATCTCTTACTAACTTTTTGTCATTCCTGATAAACAGGATGGTACTATTATGTATATGGGCCTTCCTGGTCCTGGGGTTTACTGCTTGACGATTGATAAGGTTGATATTATCAGACTACGTGGACAATATTACGACTGTTCATTGTTCGTCCCAAGATGGATCGTGAATGCTGTCCAAATCTGTTGGAGTCTGTCGTTAGCGTGACTGTTATTGAGCCCTTGTGTGTGTGGTTTTTTATTCATGTATGTATGTACCAACCTTCATAAATGGCTTGACGCTGTGCACTGTTCGATCAGTTCCAATGGTTTTTTTTCCGTAACATTGCTGAACTGGGATGCCTGGTGCTACGTACTATTCATCTGCGTGCATTCTTCGCTGCATCGTCAGTACACCTGCGTGTTTTTCTCAGCTGCATCCTCTGGTCATCGTCAGTACGCGTGTCGAGCATCTGAACTCTGATTGACGGGGGTGGTTAGTGGTGAACAGGCGACGAGTTGACAGTCAGCTTGTGTTTCTGTCCGTGTCTGTAGTAAACTACCGTATGGGTTCTCGTGAGCTTGTTTCGGTGCTGCTGCCAGGGCCCCGCTGCTTCGTGGCCCATTTTCTCTGCAGCTTCTGACAGATCCATTTCCCCGCCTTCAATTGTTCTCTGTTTGTGTTCACTGTGTCCCTATAGTTTCATTTACTGCTCGCGTGTCTTCTTCACTGTTTGCTTGGGGAACTGTCGGTTGTGGACCAGATGAAAATATCTTTTGCGCAAAATTTCCCCGTGCAGGTTAGTGTGATATTTGACACTTGGTTCCCTTGGAAAGCTGCATATTGCTCTCTGTTTCTCTCTCTTTTTTTTCCCTTCTTCTTCTACTTCTAGTGCTTCCAACGTTCTATTTTTCTGGTTCCTGAAAGCAGGCTTTCCAAGCGCTAGTACTATCTCCAAGAACATCTTCATTAGTTAAGTGATAACCAAGTAAGCAAATACTGCAATCCTTAGCGATATGCAATCTTTTGATCTTCACTCAGGACTCGGCACATTACTAGTTCTCATTAAATGCAATGCAATACAAAGTTATTATCCAATAGCATTGGCAAAATGGCAACAATCAATAGTTCACCAGCAGACAGCGTACACAAGGGATGATGGTCCAGTCCAGGCCGGCCCAACATCTTTTTTGAATTGAAAGTTATGAAGGGCCACGTACGCCGCGTATGCTTGCTAGCACAAAACGGGGCAAAATAGTTACAGCAGCAGCCCGTGAGCATATATATGCTCAAGGACGCATGCCGCCACACGGCAAACACCCAGTAAATGGATCGGATGCTGCTAGCTGTTGCATACTATACACCAGTTATTGCCATGCAGTGGATGGTCACTCATCTACTAGCAGGACATAGGATTCAATTTTTCATTTTTCATTTTTTACTTGCACATCCGTCTAGCAAGCACTCTTTACTGCTCTCGGGCCAAATTTCATCTTTCCAGCAGAACTCTGTGTTCTAACAGACTTCAGGTAATTAATCCTGTCGAAACTATTTTGATATGCATGCATTATATTGATGCATATATCATATCATCAGGTGGTGAAGTGCCATAACTACTCATAATAAGAGTTGTGGGCTTTCATTCATACATGTAACGTGCATGGCATTGCATTGCATCGCAGTGGTTGGAAGAGAGTAGGTGGTATGGTGGATAAATACGGCATCTGGAATTTAGCACACAAAAATTGTTCCTCCGAAGATTCCTTGTGTAATAGGGGGTATTGCTACTACTTGGAGTAAGCTGTTTGCAGCAGTGTATTTTGGGTTCACCAAGCAATGGCTAGTCAAGATTTACCTATTAATGGAGTGTGTTGTTAGTTGCTCCAGGCCTCCAGTACAGAGTGTGTGAACCGTTACTTGCAGCTATAAAAGAGATGCTTGTCTAGGTTGGACAGGCTGGACTGCTTGACAAGGAAGTAAATTGACTTTTGTTCAGGCTACTTAATACAAAATCAAGGTTCGCCTTTTTTTTTTACCGAAGCTTCTTCTATAAAATACTCCCTCCGTTCAAAAAATTATAAGACGTTTTGACATTTCTAGATACATTAATTCTATTATATATTTATCTAGACATATATAAGTGCATAATAAAAGCTATATATCTAGAAAAGCCAAAGCGTCTTATAATTTAGAATAGCTGGAGTAGTTTAGTTTCTTCACATTAACTGCCATGCTTCAAAAGTCCGTACATAAGGTTGTTTTAAGAAAAAAAGGCCCGCCCGGCTAGTGCAAAAAGTTCACTGTTCACGGCTGATTTATTCTCACATATTCCTCCAGATTCCTCCCAGCGAACGGGGCCAAAATAGTTAATGCATAATAATGCCCAGGAAAAGAAAATCAAAGCTACAGTAAGCCAGTGTGCAACCTTATCAATTATATATAATGATAATTCAATTCCTATCAACTGTGTGTTACATGCATGCATTCTCCATCGGCTTTATAGACTAGATGCATGTTTTCATTGGACAGCAGGAAGAAGCCAGGAGGACAGAACTTGTGGATAACAACAACAAGCAGAGGCTGCAGGCAAGATAATGGAGAGCCATGCACTGATGCACACCAACGCCGCCATCAATCCGTGGCAATATGGGCGCCGAAATATTAGCACCCCACCATTAATCCTCCACGTGTGTACGTACTGGAAGCCAAAAAAAGCCCTTAACAACGGCCTCCTCAGTCCTCAGTCCTCACTCACATGTTGATTTGTTGTTGCTGTGATCCGTCGGCTAACGACACCACCCTCCGATCCTGCTGCATGCTGCTACTAATTGACATAGCTCCACACTGAACTGAACGGCCGGCCGACACTACTGCCGTCCATAAGAGTGGTTGCTAGCTACTTGGTACGCTACGAGTGACAGATATGCATGTAGTACGTGCGGTCGGTGTCACTTCTTTATTTATCGACGCGTCGATGTTGCAATTGCGTATGGTCCGGACAGCGTACGTACGTATGTACTCCGTAGAATATAGGAGTACATAGTAGATGCACCTTTCCGTGACTTTCGCATCGATCGAGCGAGTGGCAAGAACTTGTGTTTTATATTAAATTTGTGACGTCCTGTTGGTTTCGTTTCGGCTTTTCCTTCTTGGCAGGTAGCAGGAGGTAGCGCAGGGACGACGTGCGGTGCCAAGAACTCAAGATCAGCGCACGTCTTTCTGTGGAATTTTTGTAAAGCGATCGCTGCTGCTGCGCAAAGTCTCTCCGGCTTTGACTCCCTACAAATATGTAATGACATCTATTTATGCATGGAACAGGCACCTCATCATCATCATCTATTAATGTTTAAAACGAAGTACGAATTCAATAGAATTATGCATGCACGCTTGTTTATTTGGCTACACTCTAATCCATGTTAGATCAATCCACTCTAATCCACGTTTCACAAACCAGCTCATCAGATCACTGTCCATTTCGCCTCATTCAATGGCATACCTACTTTCCAATTCTCGGAATTCTCAGAAAAATAAATACAGACGAACAACACACGTATGGGACAGTCCTGTCGCCTCCTCGTAGCAGGTAGCACCACACGCGCGCAGCTATGAACTTATGGTGTGTTTAGTTTGAGATGTTATTTCGTCGCCTCCTCATCTCTCTCTCTTTTTTTTTGTTTGTTTTATGGAATGGAAAAAAGTTGACGCACCCCATACTCATTCCTCAGTGGCTAACAACAACTAATACTAGTATGAGAAATGGAGTCATCCTACCAAATTTGAGGAATGAACTTATAATACACCATCTTATCTAAGATGATGGAGTGATTCCTCGAATCAAACACCGTTCAACCTATAATAATTATAGTTTCGCAGAAAAAAAAACATAGCCATATATATGGCAAAAGAGAGAGAGAGCGCGCATCACACTCGTACCTACTCAAGTTCGGTCATCCACCATCTGACACAAACACTCGTACTCTGATGTGTTTGTTTCTCGTCGATCGCATACGTGGTAACTCAACAAAATATGGAAAAAAAAAACTAACACACTCTCTGTTTCTTACATTGTACTAAAAATATTTGTAATTTTGATCATGAAATTTTAAGAAATCCGTGTGATTTTACAACGCGTGTGAATTATATATTATGCAACCATTTCTCATAATGAATCTAATAAACATAAATCTTTTGTTGTTGACCTATAACATTTGTATGATTCACCCGTACAAAGCAACATGTTCCTTGTCGTGCCACATAGGCTGCGATTTGTCCATTTGGTATCAATTTAGTACCCACGATCGAAAAGTACAAATGCCACGACAATATAAAGTACGTGTAAATAAATCACTTGAAAAGTTTGTCAATTTCATTTCATTCGTATCAATTTGGTACACACGCGATTGAAGACCAAAATTAACACGACAGCTTTAAAAGTGTGAAGCAGCAAAACTTACATGATGACGTATACCATATATCATACAAAAACGAGACTACTGGCCCTGTTCTGCAGCACTACTTCAGCAGTACTTTTCAGTGAACGAACAATGTTTTCCTCTCATAACAAATCAGCATAAGACAAATTTCAGCAAAACGAACAGCTGCAGCATCGGTGAGACGGTGAC